CTTTTCTTTTCTTTTCTTTTCTTTTCTTTTCTTTTCTTTTCTTTACCAACTTCGTCCAGCCAGCAAGTGTTTCTGGGTTTTCAATAGTACCGAGTGGAGCCTGGTTCCGAGTCGATGTGAACAAGACAAGATGGCGGAATACAAGGGAGCTTCACGTGAAGGACAAAGGGCTCAGGCCTTGTTAAAAAAGAGAGAAAAGATGAAAGAAGACATGGAAGCTATGAAAAAGAAGATATCGGAGGTATCTAGTATATCATTATTTTAACATCTCTTCTAAATATCCGCTTAATTATAGATTTTTGTATGAGCACCATTTCACTCTGTTTGTAAGCTTATGTTGTTGATGTAGAACATTCCCTCTTGTTTAACATAAGCTAACAACATTATCTTATTGCAGAAAAATAAAGTAGGAGACATCACCAGCAAGTTTTCTTCCCAGTACGATGTGGTTGAACAGCGGCTTAAGGAGAGTACAATAGGTAATTTGTTAAACATAAGTACAGCTGTATATTCTGCTATAAATTTATATTTTTATATTTTTATTCAATCCTCTGGTTTATGAGCTTTGAAATAACATTTTACGGCTGGGACCCTGTTACTAGCAGTGCAAACAAAAGAAAGAAAAACAGAGTACCCTGTGAAGATTTCAAGCAACTTATCAACAAAATCACTTGATTCTGATTGGACAAGAGGAGTACAATTAAATCCCAAATTGTACAATGTAAAGTCCCAATTAAGTTGCTTAATTTCGTTAAGTGTATTATAAACAAAAAATGCACAGTCTAACACAAAACTAACTATTTTCCTAATCCTTTTTCTCAATAAAAGTCTGTACATTTTTCTGTAGAAACACTTGAAAATCTCTATTATTTCGCTTCGAGCCCCATTTGTACTGAAAATTCAAGCAAAATTTCTGCTCCCGCTCTGTTGTTTTTGATTGGTGGAAAATATCAGGCCATCAGTGATTTTCACGTTCTGATCACATGCACTTGTTTATTTTCATAATTGTTGTCACATGCAACTTGTTTCCTGAACAGGAAATAAGTAACTTATTTCCCAGTCGGGATACATTTAGATTTAACTAGTGTCACATAGTCATCTTTCAACCAATGAGAGTGTTCGTTATATCGGAAAATTTCATAGCTATATAACAACAAGCATTACACCAATTTAGTGGTTTCAGTCTTGAAAATATAAAATAGGTGAAGATGAGGAAATATCCAAAAATACTTAATAGCTAAAATGGCTGATTTTTCTTATTATTATTCTTGTCAAAAACACGACAGCTTGTCTTGATATATCAAGTGTTGCTCATACATGTAGTGGAAGAAGCAGTTATAAGGACCTTGATTATTTAATTTAAATGCATACTCATAGTTTATTTTCAATGGGTCTTCCAGTGACCTGGCACCTATCTTCGTTTGATCTGTGTATACAATAGGACACTTGCATTATGGCATCAGGTCACTAGTCCACTACCAGAATCGCTTGCACACTTTCTTTTGCTCATTTGATTAGCAGCAATTGTCTTACTATTCTCATGAGGGAATATAAATTTGAAGAAGAAAGAAAATTTTCCAAGCATTTTGGTAATGGTAGTAAAATGACCCCATGCATGCAAACGGCCTATTACATTCATATAAGTTGTGTTTTTCAAAGGTTTGATGACTCTTGACGAGATGAAAGCCAGAAGAGATACCTTGGTCAAGGAACATGAGAAACACTTGGCTGCCAAGCTCAAGTCTGATGAACAAGAGTAAGGCTTGTAAATAATAAATAATTAAGATATTATTAATGAAAAGTGACATGAGAACATTGGTGAGAGCACTTGCCTCTCACCAAGAGTAAGGCTTATAAAGATAATAAATAATAAAGATATTATTAATGAAAAGTGACATGAGAGCATTGGCGAGAGCACTCACCTCTCACCAAGAGTAAGGCTTATAAAGATAATAAATAATAAAGATATTATTAATGAAAAGTGACATGAGAGCATTGGCGAGAGCACCCACCTCTCACCAAGAGTAAGGCTTATAAAGATAATAAATAATTAAGATATTATTAATGAAAAGTGAAATGAGATCATTGGTGAGAGCACTCCCCTCTCACCAAGAGTAAGGCTTATAAAGATAATAAATAATTAAGATATTATTAATGAAAAGTGATATGAGAGCATTGGTGAGAGCACTCACCTCTCACCAAGAGTAAGGCTTACTATGGCTCATGATGGTGATAGAGCGATAGAGAGAGACGACTGGGGACGAGTCAGGGAAGGGCCTGGATGAAAATTACTGTGTGTAAATCTAGTTACCCTATTGAATAGTGTAGTGTTTTTTGTTTGTTTTTGTTTTTTGTTGTTTTTTTGTTTGTTTTTTTTTTGTTTTTATTATTTATTTATTTTATTGTGTAGTGGACAGTGAGAGAGTTGATTGTAGGTCATATCAATGACAACCAGATTTACAGTATGTTTATTAATATCCTTTTTAGAAACAAGAAATCCAAAAGAGAAAAGAAAAGAGAAATGCAAAAGCAAGCAGCGGCATTATCATTTGGACTTGATGAAGAAGAGGAAGAAGAAATTGGTTAGTAATACAGTGTATAAGCAACTCTTGTCGAAGCAAACACCTTGGGACCGTCTCTTGGTGTCCCTATAATAGTGATTGTCTGCAATAGCTAGCAAAAGATAATTCATGAGTAATTTTTTCTGTGATTTTCGGAAAAAAAAGTCTGACAGCCAAAGTTAAGTGAGCAAGTTCGAAGAACCTATACTTGCATAAGCGCAAGATAATTTATTGATGTCTCAGATGACCAAAATTGAATTGAAGTTTTGAAATGGTGGTCATGATACAAGGGTTATCGCAGTAATTATTACAGTCAAGTCTTTGTCAGTATTTTTGATGAAGATTTTCCTCCTCAAGCTTCCAGCAATATCAAGGCAAAAATCCACTATATTGATTTTTTTTTTTTTTTTTCAACTTAAGAAGATGCAGGATATACCCTTGATAATATATATTATTCATTTTTACAGTAGATATACCAATAAAAAAGAAAAAACTGGGGAAAAATCCTGATGTTGATACCTCATTTTTACCAGACAGGGAAAGAGAGGTATGAAACTACAGATTGGTAACAGTTTTGAAATTCTATTTTTTATCAAATAATACTTGACCATTGTTACCATCTAGACGTAAACAACAGGCATCACAACACGTTCTAACTGGCTCCTGAAACTCATTAAATGTTTGTCGGCTAAAAATAATGGCAACAATGTTAATATGATAATGATAATAAAGTATTTATGAAGAACCATTTCGGTTAGCTCAATGGAGCTATTACAATAAAAGTCAATTCATAGTTTTAAAAATAAATAAATAAACTTTATTAAAAAATGATGTTATTTCAAGCAAAATAAGCATTCTTGAACAAAAATTTTTTCAGACTAGGTTTAAAGATTTCATTGTTATTACTGTCTGATCTGAGGTAGCGTGTTCCACAGTTTAGGAGCAGCTATGCAAATTGCACAGCGATCATACATTTTTGGATGGAATGAAAGCTTCTTTGATAAGTTCTTCTTTGATGAGCGCAGGGGAAATGTTTGTCGATTTCAAATGCCTTTTATGTCGATGTTTTAGCCAACAAATAAATATACGAGGATCAGGAGGCAGTTAGAACAAAACCATTAGAATTGATGTCTAGTGTTCAGGCCTAGGTACAGTACAGCTCGCGGGGATGTTAACATTCCACCTGTGCAAACAATACTACTGTAAAAACTACACGCATCTGATTTCTTCATTAACTATTGTTCATACTCACAAGCATAAACAAATCAAATAGTTTACAGAGAAAACAAAGTTCGAAATAAAAAGAGTGTTTTGGGTTACATGTAGTTACATGTAGTAACAACAGTATTGGAAGTGCCTTATTTTTGCACTCATAATAATAATAATAATAATAATAATATAAAGAGGCTTGTAAAGCGCCACTCATACACGTGTTCTGTGTTGACTTGAAACTTATATTTACTTTTTATCTATTTTTCCTGCATGTTTATATCTTGAAAGGAAATGGAAAGAATAGAAAGGGAACGTCTTGGACAGGAATGGATTGAAAAGCAAGAAAAAATTAAAAGTGAGATCCTTGTCTATTATGTCATTGTCAAAGTCCAACCATGACCCTGGTCAGGGACCCACCTTTATTCATGGTTCTGGGGGGAAATCGGATTGTATAAAATTAATTATAAACTGCTGGTCTTGTTTATTGCAACGTAAAAATATATTTAAAAAATTGTCTCATAGTCCTTGTGGTACTCTTTTTAAAGAACAAATTCTGGGTTACATATTTATGGGACGATATTTTAATTGTGCTGGAGTAACTGCTGCAACTTGGTTCGCTTATTAGTTTGAGTCCAAACACCTTTCTT